GGAAGATGAATTGATAAGCATGTTAAACAATAAAGTTTGGGATCTAGTTGAAAAATCAGACTCTATAAAACCAATAGGATCCAAATGGGTTTTCAAAACCAAAAGGGATGCCAATGGAAAGATTGAAAGACATAAGGCAAGACTTGTTGCAAAAGGATATAATCAGAAGGAAGGTATTAATTATAATGAAACCTTCTCTCTTGTATCAACTAAAGCTGCATTTAGAGTCATTATGGCCTTAACAACACATTTCAATCTAGAACTTCACCAAATGGATGTGAAGAMAGCTTTTCTAAATGGAGAATTAGAAGAGGAAATATACATGCTTCAACCTGAAGGATTTGCCATAGGTAATAATCAAGTGTGYAGGTTAAGAAAGTCAATTTATGGCTTGAAACAAGCATCAAGACAATGGTACTTGAAATTTGATAAAGTGATGACTGCCTTTGGATTTAAAGAAAACAAGCTGGATGAATGTATATATTTAAAGACCAGTGGGAGCAATTTCATATTTCTGATATTATATGTAGATGATATCTTGTTAGCTACTAATAGTAAGAATCTTTTGCAAATCACAAAAGCATTCTTGATGAACAATTTTGACATGAAARACATGGGGGAAGCACATTATGTGTTAGGGATTGAGATTATAAGAAATAGAAATAGATGTACACTAGGCTTATCTCAAAAGGGATATATAGAAAAGGTGCTTAAGAGATTTGGGATGGACAAATGCAAAAGTGGTGAAACTCCAATTTCAAAAGGGGATAAATTGCACAAAGGGCAGTGTCCAAACAATAATTTTGAAAGAAAAGGAATGGATAACATACCATATGCAAGATTGGTGGGGAGTTTGATGTATGCACAAGTCTGCACTAGGCCTGACATTGCCTTTGCRGTCAGCATGTTATCWAGATTTCAATCRAACCCTGGTCACCTGCATTGGATAGCCGGCAAAAAGGTATTGAGATACTTGAAAGGAACAGCAGACTATATGCTTACATATAGGAAGTTGGATGATCAAGAATTGAAAATAGACTGTTATACAGATGCATCTTATAAACAGGACTATGATGACTTGAAATCCACTTCTGGCTATATTTTCATGTTAGCAGGAGGGGCTGTTTCATGGAAGGCCAATAAGCAATCATTGACCGCAACTTCTACCTTTCAAGCTGAGTATGTGGAAATATTTGATGCCACATCTCATGCTATCTGGTTAAGAAATTTTGTTTCTGGGTTAAGAATTCTAGATTCAATAGAAAGACCTCTAACCATATACTACGACAACTCAGCTGCTGTGTTTTTCACCAAGAACAACAAAAGGAGCAGTGGATCGAGGAACATAGATGTGAAGTATTTTGCTGTAAGAGAGAATGTGAGAGATAAGGAAATCAAAGTTCTAAAGATTGGAACAAAGGATCAGCTAGCCGATCCATTCACGAAAGCCTTACCAGTTGAATGTTTCAAGAAACATGTCAAAAACATGGGCATCTCTAATATTATTGATTAAGTGGATACGTTATATCCTTGAAGTAAATGATATTTTTATTTTATCATTGACTTATGTATGCATATTGATATAAGATGTTCTAAAAATTCTCCAGTTTCTAAATTTGCACAAATAAGGATGATAATACATTTGCATTCGGTATTTGCTCTGAATTTTTAGTGATTATACATAAGTGCTTAACATTGAATTAAGTTATGATCAAATATCATCAAGCTGTGACATCGATCAATAGAGGATGAGATACCACATATTGCATTATATGTATGATTGATTCTTAGTCATCATGACTATGCGAGTCTGCTCAATATCATTGAGTATTAGACTCACATATTCTGAAAAGTAAGAATCTGTTGATAAGAAAATATAAATCAACAAACATAATCATAAATCAGGTGCACACTTAAGATGGTCAAGCTAATTCAATATGTTATCTTGTTCAGTGGGAGATTGTAATACATGAAGAGAACAAGTAACATATTTGATATATTCATATATATGACCAGTTGAATTATGTAAATTAAGAGTTGATTTATAATACGTATAAGTTTATTAAATGATCAGTTTTRTGTATAYGTATTGTGGTATAAATATAAAGAATGAAGGGACACAACCCTTGGTATGGTGGTTATTAACAGTTACCTGATGGGAGTAACTGTTAACCTGTTGAGAACGTACATATATGACATCCATACCCTGTTTCATGCCTCATCCAGTACACAAAATCTCTGCATATCCTTATCCATCAAAAGGGCAGATTATGGTGTGAAACTGGAAGAAGTCGATGGAACAACAAGTACAGGAAACAACATCAAGCCCCACTGTACCAGGTTAGATTTCGTTCATTTTCAGTCTCGTTTTCATTGATTCATGTTTGATGGTTCACTAATAGAATCTAACAAATGCATACAAGTTTGGATTTGTGAACCTAATGAACATTAGCAATATGACATAAAATAGTAACGAATCCCAACGTCTACGTCTGTGTTATTTRTGYTGATTTGATATCTGTTAATATATGTGTGTCTGTGCACAAATGTCTTAATGCATCCTAGTATGAAAAATGTAATCGCTATGTGTGTGATCAAGTAATATAGCACAGTGAACATAATGAACAACCCTTATATAAGCATGATATAATTTGTGCTATATGACATAAAACAGTAACAAAACTAAAACTATTATTACACAAAGTAGATAATTAAAAAGAGCAACAAGGATGTTATATTACTGAAATTGAAAACTTAGTGAAGAATGTATATTGTTTGTCATCCCGAAGTCAAATTTTTAATGAACATAATGAACAGCCCCTACGTAGTTAGTCTTCAAAACTAAAACTATTATTACACAAWGTAKATAATTMARARGAGCAACAAGGATGTGGATTTACTGAAATTCAAAACTTAGTGAAGAATGTATATTGTTTGTCATCCCGAACTCAAATCTTTAATGTAGGCGTGTTCACATTAGCGTGTTCATATCTATCGTATGTTCATATTGGGACACTTATTCATCATTTTCTTCACTTTCGGAATTCGAATTCCGAATGTATTCGTAGACGCTTTTAGCTTTTTCATTCTCATAGTCATCGATCTTTTTTACTCTATGATTATCCATGTTAATCGGACTATAACGGAATCTTTACAAAAGGGACTTTTTTCAAATTTACAATATCAAAACCATTATAGGAAGAATAAATGTAAAATTCAGTAAGATGAACACATGTGAAACTTAATGCCATTATTACATGAAGATCAATTAGTGATATTTTAAGATTTGTAACTCYCAATTAARATATTTGGGAGTTACATAAGAATGATAAATTACCTAAATACCCTTACAATTAATATGTGAGTTACATTTGAACCTAACTAAAAGATGGAACATGATTGGTTGATGTTGGTTAGCATAGTTTGCACAATAGTTTTGGTTAGTATTTGAACCAACCTCTATATATCTTTAGTGGTGTTGTTTTTGGAATTCTCTAAGTCTCTCTCTCTCTCTATATATATATAGAGAGAGAGAGACTTAGAGAATTCCAAAAACAACACCACTAAAGACAAATGATTTTTTAATCGTTTGGATACCATGAGAGGTTGTTCATCAAGCGTCACATAGGAATACCATCACTAAATCACAATATACTTTTTATACCGTCTCCTTTTGAAATTTAGGTTCCAAGCTAATTATGGATGGATTAAAAGATACTTAGGGGTCGTTTATTAAACACTTATTCGGTAAGCGTTTATCGGTAAAATTTAACACTATCATTTACTTATCGGGTAATATTTTAGTCCACGAAAATGGTATCGTATGCAAAAATTTACCTGGTAAGAGTTGTCGCCCTCGTTTACCGGATAAAACTCTTGGTTCTTGTCTCGTTATTATCGCGTAAGATTCTTAGTCCTTACCATATTCATTTGAAAAGACAATGTGACTTGGTGTTCACTTTAAGTTTGTATTTCATGTGACCAAGTCCAAATGAGTTAATGGGCAATGAAAAGGACACCAGTAGATATGTAACCATCAACATTCTCTATAAATACCACCCAACCACCAAACTTATTATGCATCAAGTCATCATGGACCTAATTACCCTATTCCATATGCCCATCTTCTTTCTTTTCATATCAAACCCTTGCGTATCTTCTGCCACCTTAAGGAATATTGATACAGATATACAAGTCTTGATCTCCATCAAATCTCAAATAATTACCCAACCCTCAGATGCTTTAGCTACGTGGGATCAAAACTCTACCTCTCCATGCAACTGGACTCGAGTCGTGTGTGGTGATCATGGTCGTAGAGTCGTCGCTCTTGACCTCTCCAACCTTCACATAACTGGTCTAGTTAGCCCCTATATCGGGAACCTATCCTTTCTCAGATCACTTCAACTCCAAGATAATCACTTTCAAGGAAAACTTCCTGAAACCATCACCAATCTTTTTCGCTTGCGACTGCTCAATATCAGCTCCAACAGCATCCAGGGCACCATCCCAGCAAACATAAGTAGATGCCTCCAGCTCAGGGTTCTTGATTTCATGCAAAATCAGATTTCTGGTTCTATTCCTGAAGACCTCACTCTCCTTCCTAATCTTCAAGCTCTGAACCTGGCAAAGAACCGTCTTTCTGGTTCTATTCCACCCTCCATTGCTAACCTTTCTTCACTCTCCACTTTGAACTTGGGCACCAATACACTTAGTGGCCCCATTCCTGGTGACTTGTCTCGTCTTCGGAACCTAAAGAATCTTGATCTCACCATCAACAACCTTACTGGCACAGTTCCTCTATCCATTTACAACATGTCTTCACTTGAGTCTCTAGCCCTGGCATCAAACGATTTGTGGGGTGATATACCTTACAACGTAGGTGACACGCTCCCAAATCTTCTAGTTTTCAACTTTTGCATCAATAGATTCACAGGCACTATTCCTGGTTCGCTGCACAACCTCACAAACATACGAATCATTCGAATGGCACATAACCGATTGCATGGGACTGTACCACCAGGACTAGGGAACCTCCCTGAGCTAGAAATGTATAATATTGGGTACAATAATATCGTTAGCTCACGGGGTGAGGGACTCGGTTTCTTAAACTCTTTGGTAAACAGCACAAAGCTTGATTTCCTAGCAATTGATGGTAATCATTTTGATGGTGTCATTCCCGAGTCCATAGGCAATCTTTCAAAACAACTTAGAATCCTGTTCATGGGTTCGAACCAGGTCTCTGGCGGCATCCCACCCTCCATTGGTCAACTGAAAGGCCTAGGCTTAATAAATGTAAGCTACAACTCCCTCTCCGGTGAAATCCCGCCTGAGTTAGGCCAATTGGAGGACTTACAGGAGCTTGTTCTAAGCAAAAATAGATTGTCTTCAAATATCCCAAATTCATTGGGTAATCTTGGAAACTTGACTAAAATTGATTTGTCAAACAATGAACTGGGAGGAAGCATACCCATCAGTTTTAGGAATTTCACAAGGATAATTTCCATAGATTTGTCCATGAATAAGCTCAGTGGGAGCATACCCACAGAAGTTCTTGATCTCCCAAGTTTAACCACCATCCTTAATCTTTCCAGCAATTCATTAACAGGCTCTTTGCCTCGAGAAATCGAGCTTCTGGAAAGAGTGGTGACGGTCGATCTCTCCGACAACCATTTGTCTGGCAACATTCCAAATTCAATCCAGAATTGTAAGAGCTTGGAGCAGCTTATCCTCTCTGAAAATTCTCTATCAGGCAATATTCCTAGCAGTTTGGGTGAATTAAAAGGTTTGGCATTTCTCGATCTCTCTTCCAATTTGCTCTCCGGTTCAATCCCTCTTGAGCTTCAGAACTTGAAAGCGCTCCAGTTCTTGAACCTTTCTTTCAACAACTTGGAAGGGAAAGTTCCTAGTGATGGGGTTTTCTCAAATCTCTCCAGAGTTCATCTTGAAGGCAACCCAAAGCTATGCCTTGATGCCGGATGCAGAGGAGGTGGAAGCCACAAAGCAGTTGTGATCTCCGTTGCAGTAATTGTTTCGGTTTTAGTGATGCTTCTGTCAATCGTTTTGTTTTTCTACTTCCGGAGAAACAATGCTACTATCATAGACACTCCTTATTCCTTCAAGGGCCAGCATCATATGATAACATATGACCAACTACGTTTGGCAACAGGGAACTTCAACGAAGAAAACCTGCTTGGACGTGGGAGTTTTGGGTCTGTTTACAAAGGGTGTTTAAATCTTGAAGGACGAAGCCATGAAATCGCTGTCAAGGCTCTTGATATGGAAATTACCGGTTCATTGCCTAGCTTCGTGGCTGAATGCACCGCGTTGCGACATCTCAGGCACAGAAATCTCGTCAAGCTGATTACATCTTGCTCCAGTTTGAATCACAAGAACACGGAATTTCTAGCACTGGTGTATGAATACATGAAGAATGGGAGTTTGGAGAATCGTATTGGGAATGGAATGAGGTTGCTGGAAGGGTTAAAGGTGGCGATTGATGTAGCTTGTGGGTTGACTTATCTGCACCATGAATCTGCGGTGGCTCCTGTGGTGCACTGTGATATAAAGCCAAGCAATGTTCTGCTGGATGAAGATTTAACTGGCAAAATCGGAGATTTTGGGCTTGCTAGCATGTTGGTCGAGAAAGATCAATCAATCAGCTCTGCCCATGTTCTTAAAGGTTCCATGGGTTACATACCTCCAGGTCAGTTCACTAATCTCATCTTTTATGGTTCTACTGCATGAATGGATAATTGTGTAGACTTTACAGTGGGTTAAGTTGTACATTGATTCAGAATATGGTGTGGGTGCAAAACCATCTACCAAAGGAGATGTTTACAGTTATGGAATTATGGTGATGGAGATTTTTACTGGTAAGAGCCCGACACATGAGAGCTTCGTGGGCGGTCTAAGCCTAAAGACATGGGTGCAATCTGCTTTTCCGACTAACTTGGATCGAGTGTTGGATCCTGATATGCTACAAGAACTAGAAGATGGTCAATCCATGAACATGAAGATACAACTTGATTGCCTCAAAACGGTAATCGGGGTTGCACTTTCTTGCACCAACGAATCTGCGGAAGGACGAATCACCATAAGTGAGGCTCTTTGCAAACTCAAAAGTGTTCATGATATGTGTCACAAGTCCAACGTGTGACGATAAGTGAAACCCTTTCGAATTCTCTCTTTAGAAAAAACTATGCAATCAAAATATCTGTTGAAATAATTAGGTAGATGTGCCAATAAAGTGACATAATCTATGTATATCATAATTAGGTTTTTTTAATGTGTATTTATAAGGGAAATTGTACTGTTTTATGTCTTATATACCATGATGAAACTTTGTAGGAAATTAGAGTTTAGATGGGGGACTTCAATTTCTTAATGAATAATTATATGCAATGTCATTCCTTCGCAATCACTTAAGAGGGTGTTTGAGATTGCTTATAAAAATAATTGATCTATTTTGGTGTGACACGATAATAAGTACTTTTGAGTATTTCGATAAATAGCTTATACCGGTGCCAAACCGGTAATAAGAAGTTTTTGAAAAAGTTAAACAATTTTTACTTATAATAAGTTGATAAGCACTTTTACAAAAAAATATAAGTTGTTTCAAATAAGCAATCTCAAACACCCCCCTAAATTGATAACACCTTATCATCTATACTCTAGTGAAAAACATGTAAGAAGATAACTAAATCACCTACAAAGATATATCCCATATGAATAATCACTATAAAATAAATGGTTTTTATCTATAAAAATTACTAAGGGAAATTTCTCTGGATGATTACTTACTGATCACTCATAAAATACCAATGGTCCTGACAAAACCTGGAAGTTTTTAAAGGAAATAAATATATTTGAAAGTTTCGTCGGTATTCCCTGAGTAATCACTAACAGATAAATTGATCAATAAAGTAAAATTATATTTTTAAACAAAATAAAAAATAAATGAATTATGTTGGTAATCCTTAGGTAATTAATCATCCAGTAAAACGAAGAATTTTTTTTTAATAAACTGACTAATTAGTTGATTCACATATGCACTTATATGCAACCTATTTGTACGAGTTACAAAACTATCCTTCTATTTTTTTGCTTGACCAATAAAAGCCACAAATCTTGACCAATCAAACCTACAATCTTTAACCAATCAAAGTCGCAGTTTTTGGCCGGTTTTGATCATATGAAGAGTTAGAATGACTTCTTTACTTTTAAAATACTTACCGTAACAAGGGACTAGTTTGTTATAATTACATTCCAACTAAAGTTCCCTTTTAGTTCGAGTTCTTCTGGATGTAAATAGGAACTCCTTTTCTTGTAGAAAAGCATGAAAGATAATAAAAATGACTTCTCCCTATGTATTTCTCTCTCTAGTATCTTCTTCCTCCTAAATCTCTCGTCTCCTGTTCTGTCATTAACGAAGGCGAAGGTTCAGTTCCTGTATCATACCACTTCTCAAATGAATCTCTTACATAACTTAAATTAACAACTAGTGTCCCACGTTAAAATGTTTTTCATACACCAAGAATCTATATATAGTGGCCCTAACTTTTTGTAGAAGCCATTGTATTTACTTCTCTAAGCCCAAAATTCTTTTTCTCGAGGCACTCTGATCCAAATCATGCCAAAAGCTGGTCCAAGCCTTAACTTCTTCGTCTTGTAAATTTTGCACAGGTAAGAGCAACACAATAAAATTAGGTTTATAAGACACTTTCTAAAATATGTCTTATAAAATAGTTAATGCGACACTTTAATTACTAAAATTTTATTGTTTTTTTTATCTAAATCTTTTTGTTGTTTAGAAATTTCAAGAAGAAACTGGAGGAGCTGTTCTTGTTGACATAATTGCGTAGGTTAGTTTGAATTTTTGTGTCTCAATCGAGTATTTATCAAATGCATAATTGTTGTGGATTTTCATATTTGGTAATATAGCCTAGATTTTTACTTTAATGATTGTGAATGTGAAACACCCACAAACACCACATTTTCATATAACACATATTTCATTACATAGAAATACATTTTACACCACAATGGTCCCATTAGTACAAGGATTCTTATATGTACAAAATCTATATATGAAAAAAAAAATCCAAATAAAAATCTTGTACTATCACATGTATAACAACATGTATCTTCCAAAAATAAGCAATCTCATGTAGATCTTCAAAAGCAGATATCAGATTAGAAAAATAATCACATTTTCCCTTTCCCCTTATTATCTCTGGATCCCGTCGTTCCTGCATTGCATATTTTTAAAATAGAAAATGAGGGTTAAACCAGAAGAGTCTAGTGAGTAAATCCATTCTTTGCAAATGCAGAGTGATAAACACCAAAATATAATAAAATATCTTTGCTTAGGAATATTTGCATTTCAATCAAACAATGCAGCTCTCAATATGATGAATGATAGGATAAACTTATTAGTATCAGTTCTTGATACAAATGCATCTGCTTAAAGATCCAATATTCCAAAATGGAATTAATATTGCGGCCAAAGTCCCTTTCACTCGACGAACTAAAGCATCTCTTTTAAAAGACCAGACTTCCTCTGTATGTATTATAAATATTAATAGAAAGTTTTTAGGCGATAATTGCCTCTTGTGACAAACCATTTTCTCTCTTCTCAATAACATCTAAGTTATTATTTCTAATAAGAATAATATCTCTAATTCATCAGGTCACAAAGAAAATGATGATTCAAAGTTATTAAATCCAATTAGTAATAATAATAAGAGTTATAATAATATCCACATATGACAATGCCTCCCTTATTCCAAGTACACATCTCCTTGATATGTCACTCTTATTTCTCCATCAAAACATGATTACTTACCAGAACAGACATAAGTCACCACGTCTGAAAGTATCCATCACCCAGTTCCAAGTCAGAACAGACAAATGTCACCACGTCTGGGGGAACTACCTCTTAAAACAAGTTTCATACCAAAACAGACATATGTCACCACGTTTGGTAGAAACAATTCCCAAAATTCAATTTTCATACCAAAACATACTTATGTCATCATTTTTGGTAGGAATGTTTCCCAAAATATAGTTTCATACCAAAACAGACATACGTCACCACGTTTGGTAGAAACAATTCCCAAAATTCAATTTTATACCAAAACAAACTTATGTCACCATGCTTGATAGAGACATATCTTTTTATTTAAAAAGATATAAAATACCCCCTTTTCACAATAGTTTAAAAATAATTATTATCACTTTAAAAAAATTCCAAGGAATCTCAACACTTGTAAATTATACCAAGTATAAACATCCAGACAGATTATTCGGACAAGCTATCCGGACAACACTAAGTCCCTTGTCCGATTTATCAATCCGGACAATACTCCCTTTGTCCGATTTAAAACTAAACTGGATAACCTTTAATCGATTTATGACTAATCCGCACAACACTTGATCGTATTCCTACTTCTCCGTTCAAAACCATTATCCGGTATACATATTTCAAAATTCCACTAACTCACTAAATTGCATAATACTATGTTCGATCTACAGCTAAATCGGATAACACCTATCCGATTTAGAACAAACCGGACAACACTATGTCCGAGTTATGCATAACCCAGTCACCCCTTTTGTCCGGATAAGAAGACAAATCGGATACATGATTTCTTAAGTTTAATAAGCAATTTTCAATAAAATCAATAACAACTTTATATGAAGGAAGTTTAGAATTCACTCACCTTATGAGAATTCTTAGTTTTGAAGAAGATTGCAAAACCAACTTGAATATCCGGACAACACTTCTCAATTATGCTCAATTTCCTAAAGAGGCAAGAAACCTTGCCTATGTTCCCACCCTACCTATTTATACTTTCCAAAATAGAAAAGTCGGCTATTTTTCCCCCACCCACATGCATGCATATAAAAATTCATGCACACGTATATTCCCACATATTGTTTCATATATATACATATATGTATACATATGTATACATATACATATATATATACATATGTATATGTATACATATATATGCATATATATATATATATA